CGCAAATGGACAGGTCACATGTCTGTGACACCAAAAGTAAAAATGCAGACTGGAGCTGCAAATAAATCACATCATGTCTTATCCCAACTTTCTCACCTAATAAAGCGGTAATAGGGAGTGAATATGACATGCCGATTTGGAGGGCAATCAAGCTCAAAGTACCAACCCCCTAACAATATTTCCTTCCTGGAATAAATCACATTAATTTTATTCCTAAATAATTATGCATAAGGCCTTTGTAGGGATACTTAAAGGAGGGAAGATGAAGGATTTGCTTTTACGAGTGGCGAATTTCCAGCATGCCAGTGCTTTACCCAATTCGTGAGCTTTGAATATCTTATAAGTAACACCTGAATCTTCAACGTGAAAGTATCGTTGTTTCACAATCAGCTGGGTCTTTTTCCACATATCCATTCATTCTTGCCTCCATGAGTCCCGAAATGGAACACTGGTTAGCGATTTACACCCTCGTTTGTTCCTTCTCTCCCTCACAATATAAACAAACTACACATTCTCTTGGTATGACTGGGTAAACTGAAATTCAAAGTTTTCAAAGTACTTATTCTTCTCCTTTCCACAAACGTTATGTCAGGGGAACATTCCTGCCTCCCCTACTACTGCTACTGCTTAGTCTTCATCCACTCATGAGTTGTCGCCGAACAGGTCCTCTTGTCTAATATACGCATGCATAGGAATCATGCTCACATCAGGGTTGCCAAAGATGATGAATCAAGTAAAATGGGGAGGTTGTCCTCCTCGTTCTCCTCTCCCACCTCCTCCTCTATGGTTGTCCCAATGGAAAGTTCTTCTTCACCCACCCACACCCCATAGTTACGTTCATATTGCTTTGCAATTTTCCACCACTCTGATACATAACTGTCGAATTTCGGGATGCTTTGTAAGTGATTTATGCTACTGTGCAATGCGTTTTGGCTATTTTGTGGTTTTAACTTTTGCTCTGGCTATACTACTTAAATAGAGGTGAACCTTAAATCTCTTATAGGCTGATATTTTCAGACCTGAATTAATGCCTGAGTTAAAAACCAGACTACATAAAAAGATGACCTGCTGCCAATTGTTAAGCTGTCAACTGGACAAAGCTATGGAAAAATAGTCCATATTTTATCGCTTTTAAAACCCAGCCAATAAAGTGCAGGGGGTTACATAGACTAAATCAACTCTCCCTGTATAGCAAAGACTGATC